GCGCCCAGCCGCCCTGTTTAGGATAACCCGGTCCCTCCTAAATAGGAGGGATATGGGCAACAGCTTGAAACTCAGTCCAGCGATGACTTACCAGATCATCCCTTAGTGCCTCGGCTGGTACTGCAGAATTGGAGTCCAGGTCCGCCCGGAGCCGAGCAACCTTGTCTGCGAGAAATTGGACATAGTCCTCAGTCCTGCCCTGCAGCGGATCGCCCATATCCCTCCTATTTAGGAGGGAACGGGTTATCCTAAACAGGGCGGCTGGGCGCGACTCAGCAGACGCAACCAGAGAGGCAATGTGTGTTTTCTTAGCCGTCCTAATTGCCCGAACGTAATATCTGGTGTAGGTTGTCAAAAAATGCTTGGCTCGATTCGGATTTGCTGGACCTCCATAGGTACTTTCTATTGGGGAGATTTGAAAACAGTGATAATTATAAGATAATATTAGCAAACAATGCTAATTGATGCAAATGAAATGTAATATTATTTATCACCTCACTGGTGTGTCATTTATTTAGGAGAGCTGTTTTAATTATGGCTTTTTGTGTATGGTTTTAAGGAGAGTAACTATTTTGTTCTTCTGATGGAGTTATTGGAACAATGTCCAGTCTTTATATCTAAACTGTTTTGTTATTTATTTATTTGTTTGTTTGTTTGTTTGTTTATCTATCTATTTATTATAAATGCTTCTATGTTGCTTCCATTATTTGACTTTAGTTCCTACATGCATACATATAAAAAGATCTGTCTCTTTCATCATGAAGTCAATGAATGGTTAGTTGGGGATGTATTGAAAAGACAAAATAAATATGGAATGGAGCTTTAACATCTAGTAATATAGAGGTTTACTGAGACAAAATTAAAATCAAATGGTTTTCATATATCATTATTTTTAAATTGGAATTTAATCAGTGAGAATTACTTGATTTTTTTTAATGCATCTATGTTTTTGTTCATAGTTCCTGCCAGTGTACATGCACATCCGTGTTTTGGTTGCTGCATATCTATTCCAAACAGGCTATGGACATTTCTCATACTTTTGGATTAAAGGAGATTTTGGCATTTATAGAGTGTGTCAGGTTAGAAACTTTTATATACATACCTCCATCTCATAATGCCTAGACTTTTGTATTCATTTGAGGAAACTTTACACACTTGTGCCTTTTAGAAAAGGACTTTCCTTCAATTCCATTTTGAGATAAAAATTATGAAATTTGTTCTAAGCCTAATAAAATTTTAAGCAACTATTTTATAAACCTGGTAACTGCAGACTGTATCTATTTCAGAAAGAGAATTGCCTCCTTCCCAGGCATTATAAAGCTTAGAAAAAAAGGCTCTAGTTTCTAACCTAAAGTTCAGATAAACATATTGGTTCGAAGTTTTAAGTTGCCTGCTAGAATTCTTGAATCATTACTTTCAACCAAATTAAATTGTTATGAAATGTCTGGCATTAAATAATAAAAACAACAATAAAAGAAGCAACACTACATATGCATCTGAACCAAAAACAGATGGAAAAGAAAAAAAAATTAAAGAAAGATTGTGGATCTTGTGGCTTATCAAGATGAAACAAGAAGATGGCAAAATTGGCAGAACTACACAGTAATATCAAAGAACGGAGTTCTCTAGAACCATTCTTTGTTTGGGAACTGGCTCCAAAGCTACTGGGGACCATGAACCATGTTTAAGATTGATACATGCCAGAAGTGGGGGGGCAGGGGTAGGCTTTCCAACTTTTTTTTTCTTGCTTGCTCACCAACTAGAAAACTACAACATGACAGGTTTGTAGAGAAAGCTGGCAGTAGACTAGATGAGATAGGCAAGATGTGGACTGTTGTGATGTGTGGATTTTCTTTTTTCAATCTTAAGGATAGTGATAGAGAGGATAAAGATTGAGAACTAAGCAGACCGGAGGTGGTTGCTGGTTCTGCCTGGATCGGTTGAAAAGGTAGTGGCAGTGGGAGGCTCCGCCCACTCACCCGGAAACTTCTGCGCATGCACAGAAGCGCACACATACAGGAGCACACCCAAACCATAGTAAAAAAATTAGCAACCCACCTCTGAAGCAGACCAATATTAGTGATTGCCTCTCCCTCCCAACAAGAAGATCCATGGAGCAGTTTTTTCCACATCAATGGCCAGAGGGAAAAAATATTGGACCAAAAGTGTTACTCATCTTGTAATGGCTTGCCCACTATATCCCATCATACTTTCAATCCCGTAAAAGCTATTTTAGCTCTTACAAGATTGGCAAGTCTTAACTACTTTTATTTAAAAGCAAACCATATTGCATTATAGAAAATTTCATAATGGATCTTTATTTTAGCATCCAGTTTATCTCTAAATTCATTGGACAGATTTTTTTTTTATCTTGCCAATATCTTATGAGTACAATGTGTATGTTCTTGACTGCAAAATGGTTAAGTTGGAGAACTTGTAAATTGCTTTGTGGGCAAAGTACTAAGCTACAAATTACCTCTTATTAAAATTACAATGTAGACATTTCATCCATTAAAACAGAAGTGAAATTTCCAGATGATACACCTTTAATAGCAACATCTTGTATCGTTTTTCTTTACCATGCACAATGTATCAGGCCCTGTAATTGTAGATAACAAAACTAATATGATAAATGTGTTTCTAAATCTCTAATCATTAGCTGGAACTGCTGAACTGGAATTCTGCAAATCTGCTTTAGACTGGCTCTATTGCAGCAAAAGGGAGATATTTTGCCTAGATCTGAAAATCTGTAGTTTGAATCTATATTCCAAAATGAATGCAGATTCCTGTGGCTAAACAAGAAAGTGTTATATGTGAATTTTAAGAGTTTTTTAAACTGAATTTTAACTCAACTTTTTTAGAGCCTGAGTTACAAAATTGTTACTCATCTAAATTGTAATAGAAATAATCTAAACTACAAATGTGCCTAAAATAGTCTGACATTTCTGGTGAAATTACAATCAGATTAAGAGTATATTAAAATGTACCGATAAATTTATTTAATATTTCATTGCCATATACTTAGGTATTTTTCTCAATATTAACAGGTTTTGTTTCGACTGAACTTCCTGGTTGTGGTGCTATGCGTTGTAATGGATCGATCTTACCAATTCTATTACTTCGTTCCACTAGTCACTTTCTGGTTTTTAATCATATATATTACATTAGCTTTGTGGCCTCAAATTATCCTGAAGAAAGCCAATGGTAAATATTTCATTTTACACCAAAAAACTGTTAATATAGCTAACAATCACCATTTAATACTCAATTATTTTTCTCCCAGCATTTGAATATCTTAAAAATTCTCTATTCATTTCCCCATCTTTGCTAAATAGGAATTTACTAAAAGTTATATATATGTGGCTCTTTTTATGCACAAAACAATTATTTTCAGGTGGTCTTGGCCCAAACCAAAATTATATGGAGTGAAACGAGTTTCTTATCTTAAATATAGTTACCATAGAAAGAAGTAGTTCAAGACTGTAGAAAATTCTAGTTGAAAGGTTTCATTGGGGATGGTATGATCAGATGTTGTTGATGGTTGTGATGATTGCTGAAGGGAGTGTCTGGAAGGAAATCCTGGGAAGATTGGAAATGGGAGTGGGCGTGGGTGGGCTCTAACATATAGATGATGCACTACAGAAAGAAAAAGGATGATGCACTACAAAAAGGACTATAGTGCTCTCTTGCAGCTCAATATATAGTTGTCCAAGTCTTACCAAAAAAAGCTATTCAATGTATTAACCTAATCACAGGATTTACACAATGTGTTTACTGTATTAAAAATAATATGAAAATTTTCTCTAAAAATGAATAATAATTTCTCTTCATTGTTGCTTTTCTACAGGTAGTTTCTTCTGGCATTCTGGCTTGCTGTTAAAATTAGGATTCCTGTTTGTCTGCATTTATTTTTTAGCATACTCTGAGGTTTGTATTGAACTTTAAGTGTGGTAGAATACAAATTCAATATAGAATTAACACTTAAGAGAAAGCATTTACAATGTTGGAACAGGCAAGGTAACAATCTATTATGTTCGAAAAGAACAAGGTATTTTTGTTGAAAACAATTAACATGCTTTTACCTATATGGTAATGCATTAACCATTTTATGACAAATTGGGTTTTGAAATGCCTGACAATCCAAAAATGAGGCATCTGTTTTTATAATGCACATTAGCCTGTGCTTTTTAATTATGGCGAGAGGGTGTTAGATATTTAGTTTTAAGAGTTTTTATTTTTTTATTTTTCTACATCTACTATTAATAAATGTGGTAGGATATTAGGAACAAAAATGTTCTAAACAGAAATCAAAGGAAAGATTATTTGGATGTTTTATTAAGTATACGTGTGAGTGCCCACACATACAAGCAAACAAACAAAAGAGCACATTTTGAAACAACTACAAGAATTGCCAAACCACCACAAACAAAAGCATACTGTGGAGCTTATGGACTTGTGAACAGTACTGAAATTTTTCAGTATTTCTGGATAAATATGACCCAAAATGATTGTTTTTATATATCCTAAATAAATAAGTATAATTTTTGACCCATTTCTTTAATTGGGTTCTCTTTATCTAGTTTTAGGAATTGTCTGGAAAAATATATCATAATTATGCAAAAAATATTTTTGGAAACAGTGACAAATATTTAAAATTGTATATAGATAACTGTGTATCAATAATTTAACTTAATATCCCCAAAATTCATAAAAGTTTTTGTAATAAAAATTTAAACTTCTGAAGACACAGCTGAAGAATGAGTTGTATATATTTTTCATGTCTGAAACACATACTTATATGTTATGTTGTTACATAATACAATAATTTACTTTGGCATGCAGACATTGCTATTTACCAAATGTTACACTATTTGGAGATATGTACAATATGAATTTTACGTACATATATGGATGTCCATGGAGTCATATTACAAGTAGTCCTCTTACAACAGTTCATTTAGTGATCATTCAAAGTTATAACAATACTGAAAAAATGACATGACCTTTTTTCACACTCATGACTGTTGCAACAACCCAATGGTTGCATGACCTAAATTCAAATACTTTAAAACTGACTCATATTTATGACAGTTGCAGTGGCCCAGGATAATATGATCACCCTTTACCCACCTTCTGACAAGCAAGTCAGTGGGGAAAGCCAAATTCACTCAATAACTCTGTTATTCCCTTAACAACTGCAGTGATTCATTTAACAACTATAGCAAGAAACAAAATTAACTTAACAAATGTCTCAGTAACAGAAATTTTGGGCTCAATTGATGTAATAAGTCAAGGACTGCCTGTACATATAAATCTATACACAGATGGGTATCTATGGAGAGCAGGGAATATAAATGATGAAAATTATGTGATGCATCACTGCAGGTGTATCCTTGCAGTGGTTTGTAGCTGTTGCTGGCTATATATTATATTTCCGTATTTTTTAGCATTCCATTTTATAATTAGCCTTTTAATTAATCATCCTGAATATGTACAGTAAACATGCTGTTCAGTAGGCAAAGATCTGGAAACTATTAAGGAAGTGGGAAATTCAGCCTTATACTTATGCATACTGCATGATTAATCTTAAAATACTATTTCCTTTTCAAAGAATTATTGTACTAATAGTTTTAGCTATGTATTTATATTAAGACTTGGGAAGTAAATGGGTTAATATATTTGGCCATTATATTGAAATATGAAATTATTTCATTTTAAAAGTATTTAGGAATAAAAGGTGTTGAGGAATAAAACTGTTGTTTTTTTTCTACAGGTATAAGGTATTGATTAGATATAATGCTTCATGAATGTAATCCCATTTTGCTAAAAAAAATGTTAACGTACATTAGATGGAATCTGATATGAAATAACATTTTTCCTATCATTAAATACTAAGATTAATTATATTTTCTGGATGTTTGCCTTTCATATGTAGCGGATATAAAACGTCTACACACCCCGGTTAAAATGCCAGGTTTATGGGATGTAAAAAAAAAAAATAAGTGAAGCATATTGATGGCAGTGCTTTTCTTCAGCTGGAACTGACTTTAGTCAAGGTGGATGGAATTATATCCAGTTCCAAATATCAATCAATTTTGCACAAAAGCTTTAGGTCTCTGCTAAAATGCTGAAGTTGAAGAAGAATTTCATCTTTCAATATGAGCCCTCATGTTAAATCTAATTTTTTAATTGAATCTTTTATTTTCTTCTAAATATATTTCTACTCACGGAAATTGAGTATTTGTGTCAGATGACCTAGTACTGTAACATAGCCATTGTGTACAACATATATGTTTGTTTCTTACAGGATCTATTTGAAAAGGTTTTTTCTATATGGCCATTGTCCACATTTTTTGAACTAAATGGGAGCGTCTATGAATGGTGGTTTAGATGGAAATTAGATCGATATGTATGTATTTTTAATTTTTTCATATATATTTTTATGTGATCTTATAATAGCTATATTCTCATGTTTAAATTATAATTTCAGTTTCAAAGCAAAATAAAAATTTTAAAAGGGAATATACATTTAATGTTACTCCAACTATAATCTTAAATTAATGTTTGTTAAATGTTGAGATAAAGCAATATTCTTTTCTCTTACAGGTTGTTTTCCATGGAATGTTGTTTGCTTTCATTTATCTAACTTTTCAGAAACGGCATGTCCTCTCAGAAGGAAAGGGAGAACCACTTTTTCCTACCAAAGTTTCAAATATTTTCTTATTTATTTCAGTAGTGTTTTTTCTGGTACGTTTCTAAACTACGATGCCTAAATACTGTTTTTATTAAATTGGAGGCTTAAGTGACATGTCACCAAGACTATCTGCTAATAGACACTTATGGAAAGGGACAATTAGTGTTTTAAATTTGAATTATTTCAAGGATATTTATCTTAGGCTGAATGCAATATCTGTTTTCATAAATAATTGAAAAAATAATTGCTTTATTTGGCTCTTATTTTATTTTAAATTTATAGACATATTCCATCTGGGCAAGTAGTTGTAAGAATAAAACTGAATGCAATGAAATGCATCCTTCTGTTTCAGTTGTGCAGGTAATTATATTCTTTGCCATATCTATGATTAAATTGACACATATAGCTAATAAAGCACAAAGTATTATATTTTATAAAGAAAATTCGTGAACTTTGTAAACTCGTATTCACAAAGAAGAGAGCAAAGCCAAATTAATTGACTCAATAATTAAGCATTTTGTTGATAATGGAGCAGGGGACCCTAACCTTCGGGCTGCGGACTGTACTAGTCTACGATCCATTGGGAACCAAGCCATGCAAATGGCTGCCAAGCACACACAATTTTATTTGTGCATGCATGGGAGCTAGATTGCGTGCATGAAACCCGCACCTTTCCCACTGCTGCTTTGGACCTGGAAAGCTTGGGGACTGCCACAGTGGCGTATATAGCTATAATACATGTTTATAGCAGGCATTTCTGGTTAATTTTTCTTTCACTAGACATAAATTATGGATTCTATAACTGAAATACTTCTAATCAGAGATGTGCAAAATGAGACAGTGTTTTCTCATGAAATTTTACAGTTATTCCCAAGAGCATGTCAGTATGGGCATTTTTGACATTCTTCATTATTATTTTGTTCTGCAAAATAATAATCTGGAATACCATCTGTGATGAATGTACTTTTAGAAAAGCACAAATCATATCCATAATGCCAGTATTGATGTATTCCTAAATGAAATATTTTGGGAGCAAATGAAAAAAAGTGCACATCCCTGCTTTCAGTCTCCCAACAACTGTACAGAAAAATATTTTAGATTTAAGATTTTTTTTTCTCTTTTAAATTAATCCTGGTAGACATTGGAATAGGATTCTTCAGAATATCTAGTAAATCTTTGTTCCAGATTTCTTTTTTGTATCATATGAAAGCCTCAAGAAGCTAAAGCATGCACTCTAGCATGATAATCATACATATGTGTTCTGACCCCTCCTTCGTCCAGTAACGAAAGCCGAGACACGCTTAATGAGAATGTCCTTTAATAACAAGACCAGACTCTCGGTGGCTGAACAAAAACTGGCAGCAATCCAGCCTGCCAAATTTGTTTCTCTTTAGTCAAAGCGTTGACTTCTGCAAGAAGGGCGTGGCACAAGCAGTCTCTTTTATAGTCTGGAGAGGAGCCTAATGACTATCAGCTGAGCGTAATTACCTCCTGTAATTACGTAGTTGTTCTTGACAAGTAGCTCTTCGATTGCGTGCATCCCAGAACAACTCACTGTTGGTTTCTGGATCCCTCTCCCTTGTCTCCTCCCCACTGATCCAAGGGTCAGGCGCCACCTGGTGGCCAACCAGTCTCTCGGTGCCCTGCTCGGAGTCAGAACCCTGTCCAGGGTCCTCCACATCCTCCAGGGCCGACTCATAGGGCACCTCGCTGTCGGAGTCTGGTAGCAGCTCCAACGGCTCCTGCTGGGCCACAACACATATGCATATAAACACTTGCAGTCCTTTAAATCTTAGCAATATATGTGACTCTTGGAGCAGAAATTGTTCACTGTGTGTTGAACTCAGGTTGGCTTGAACTTAGCTCAGCAATTTGTTGTTACTCAATTTAGGACTAATAGGTCCTCATTTTTGAGGAAAGTATTTGTAAAGATATTCAGGTGTAGGTTGTAATTTTTGTATCTGATAAAATTTAGCAGTTTGCTTATTCCTTGGTAATTTTCATGTTAACAGAATTTGAATTTCTTATAATCTTCAGTTGGTTGTGTAACCTAAATGCATAGAATAAACTGGCTATATATTTTACATGGTATTTTGTTTTTGTCTTTCAGATTTTAGCTTTCATCCTAATTAGGAATATACCTGGCTATGCTCGTTCAGTATACAGTTCCTTTTTTGCATGGTTTGGCAGAATTTCTCTTGAGGCAAGTAGCATCACATAGTTCTAATTTTAAAACTGAAACATCTAAATTGGGTGTAATAAGAATTCATTAATAAAGCATCACATAGAAAGCATGTGGATTGTGTTCTATATTGACTTTAAAATATTCCTTCTTGATTGCAATTTTTAATGGGATACAAAACGAAGTAAAGTTAAATAGAATTAAATGAAAATGCATGTTTTACTTGGCTATTACCATATTTTTACCTGGGGTCTCATCCCATTGTTTTGACCCGATATTTTTTCTAAAGATGAAGTACAATCATCAGGCCTTGTAACCCACATGGACAATTATGCAAATATGGACAGTTTTGAAAGGAGTGTCATGTAGCAGTTTAACATAAATACCACTAGGATACTCACGTTAAAAATCTACCCTTAGGCATCCAAGCCTCCCGAGTGACTTGACAGATATTTCATTCTGTTATTGCAACAAACGTCACCAAATAGCAATAGCAATAGCAGTAGACTTATATACCGCTTCATAGGGCTTTCAGCCCTCTCTAAGCGGTTTACAGAGAGTCAGCATATTGCCCCCAACAATCTGGGTCCTCATTTTACCCACCTCGGAAGGATGGAAGGCTGAGTCAACCCTGAGCCGGTGAGATTTGAACCGCTGAACTGCTGATCTAGCAGTAGCCTGCAGTGCTGCATTTAACCACTGCGCCACCTTGGCTCTCATATGGCTTACGTGGTGAAAATCGCAGAAGAGAACGTTATTGGATTGCATTGACAGAACTAATATATATCAAAAGCAATACCACTTAGACTTATTTACCGCTTCACAGTGCTTTACAGCCCTCTCTAAGTGGTTTAAAGTCCACCTATTGCCCCCAACAGTCTGAATCCTCATTTACCAACCTCAGAAGGATGGAAGGCTGAGTCAACCTTGTACCTGTCAGGAACAAACTACTGGCAATCAGCAGAGTTAGCCTCTAATACTGCACTCTTAAGTACTATGCCACCACGCAGTGGTGAAACTATGATTCCCCCCCCCCATTTGTACAAAGCAATTTAGATTTGATATTCACTGTGAATAAAGAAAGCAATTTATATTCCAGATTGAATAAAAGTCACCAATCCTTACTAGAGGGAGTTTGCTTCTTCATCAGTTAGTAGCTTAGTAATGATGCTTTGCTGCTATAGAGATAATCTGTTTCACTAAGCTTACAGTATGTAGTAGCAGCCCATGTGTTCAAATGTCCAGTATCCCATAATTCTAATTCTTATTATATTTTCTTTCCAGCTCTTCATCTGTCAGTATCACATTTGGCTGGCAGCAGATACAAAAGGAATCTTGGTCCTTATTCCAGGAACCCCCATGCTCAATATTATTGTCAGCACTTTTATATTTGTCTGTGTGGCTCATGAAATTTCCCAGATCACAAATGATCTTGCACAGATTGTTGTTCCAAAAGATAATGTAATGCTGCTGAAAAGATTAATATGGGCATGTGTGTTTTTCTCCGGATTTCTCTTTTTATCATCTTTTCAAAAACAGTGAAGGTGTTAACTTCCACAAAATCCTTCAGTCATTGCTTCTGCTTCATTTTATATCTCCTGAATAAATGAAAATCAGCTGGAATTACATACTCCCCCAACTCTGTTTCTGTTCCTGTGGAGCACAAGAAAAAGAAACATAGGAAGTACACTAAACATGTATATGTTGTCTAAGGATAACATCAATTCAGGAAAATAGGAATGCATTATATATAACTATGGGGAGAAAAAAAATGATTTTTCTGCTGGAGGATTATTCTGTTTACAAATCTTTCTAAAATTAATGTACAATCGAGCAAAATGAGCTCAGCTAAAGGCATTTAAGACTTTTTCTGGAAGCATTTCTTAAAATGATTAATAATTATTTACATTCACTGTATGGAAAAACAAAACTGCTTATGCTGCAACAAATTACATAACTCACCTCTTGATGGCATTTTGAATTCCTGGAATCACATAGAGAAATCATTGAAGACCATAAGGCTTCAACAAAATACTGCATAGCATCTGGGAACAAAATGTCTGTAGTGATTTATTTTAAATTTCTAAGTATATGTATTACTTCTGGGGAATTGTCAAGAACTGAGGGATAAAAAGACACTGAAATATAATCTTAATGTTTACAAACTGCATTTCAGTTCAGTAGATCTTCAGCAAATTCTCTGTGTATAATGATTGACATTCATTTTGAATATTTTGAGCAGTCTTATTTTTCTTCCACTGTTTATTTTTAATCAGTATTTTCAAGTCTTTAGTTAATTGAAAATGTAATATTTCCTGAGATTTTCCTTTCTGGTATACTGCTGAGTTACATTTTACTTCAGTTTTTCTTTTTTTCATGAAAAGAATTTCATTGGAACCAGATAACTTTATCTGACACACTTCTTCAAAGAAGTTGGGCATTTAGCTGTGATTGTTCTATCATTTCTGTAAGAATTACTTTTTGGCTTGGGAGAATTATTCAGAATTTGCATGGACTGCATGAGAAGTAAGGACAAAAAAAATTACCTCCTCAAATATAGGAATTTCAAAGCTATTTTACCAATCACTGTTTTAAAAGGGCTATGAAGCTGTTGTAATTTCTTTTTGAAATTAATCATGCACAATCCCATGCAAAACAGGTAGTTCGGGAATAGTATTATAAAGTTTTAAAATACAAAATGCTTCATTGTGGTTTACATATGCCCTTTAAATTCCATTAATATTTAGCTATATTCTCAGTAATATTTCTGTCCCTCTTCCTAAGCATGCTGTGCATAGGTTTAATGCCGTATATAATAATTGAATTTGAAGGAAATAGTATGACTTAATCTGAAAAAATTAAGTGGAATATGCCAATTCTGATATTTTAATTCTGGCAATTTGGAGTGTATTCTGGGCAATTTGTAGTCAAAATAAGATTATAAGTATTATCCAGTATACTAACATATGTGTGGAATATGTAGCTTCTAAGATGCATATTCACATTAAAAATTCAGCATTTTTAAAACCTATCCCTCATTGGCTTTTTATCAGTATCAGCTTTAGCACTAAGTTTGAAAACGGAGGTTTGTGGTGAAATGGTGTGTTTAATCTACTTTTTTTTTTTTTTAACATTTTGGGGCATTGAAAACTAAAGAGTATTTTGAAGTGCTTCAGGAGTTTTTTGGCAAAGACATGTCTGCCTTTAAAAAAATAACACCTTAGGAGGTATGTTAATGGTATGTTCATTGGGGACTTATCTTTGATATCAGTTGCAACATGTCCCTAATATGTCTGCATGTTGCATCCAGTTTTAGCACTTGAAGAATGAATAGACAGTATTGTTTACTATGCATATGTGCAATTATAGGGCTTTTTATTTATTAGTGTGTTTTGATGTATGGAATTAGGAACTCATAATTCCCATTGTAATAGATTATACTAAACAATGGGAAAGGAGAAGAGGAAATCCCACTAAATAATAATAGGAATAATAATAGGTTCCAAAATGTTAAATGTTTGTTACATTAGCTTCTTGTGTAAGTCCTGTGTTTATCTGACCATTTATTTCAACAGGTGTGAAAAGTTCTGTTTTACCATTAATGATTTGCATTTTTTTTCTTCAATTTTGTTTAACATGGATGTAATAGCTGGCAAGTCAGGAATTGAATGTACAAATGAGATCCAGTGAGAATTTTTGTTCATTTGGGAGTGTTTTGTTATGTTACAATTTGAGTACTATAGATATTTTATTTATCTGTTGTACAGATTTGGTTAAAGATTATTTTTTAAGTTTGAAATATTGCACTTGTTTGCTATATATTTTTTAAAGAATATATTTCAAATTTATGTGAAAAATATGAAGTAATTTAAGGTTTAAATAAATGTGGTGTAAGTGCTTATTTTTGTACTAAAGGAGCATCAGTTAAGTAAAGGAGTGTTATGTGTATGTGTGTCTTTTATTTTTTTAAAAAAAGTTTTTAAAAAATCCCTGGCTTATCCTCTGACATAAAATACATGAAAATACTACAATATTACTTATACAATTCTTATATAAAATATTGCAAATATATTGTTAAAAATAATCCTTTCATAAAAGGCTCCAGTAAAAAAATAGGACCTAATGTTTTGCTGTATATAATTTAAAATTACTGTTTATCAGATTTGCAGAAAAGGAAAATGACCTTGAATTACAATTCCTTCATGAAAAACACAATAAGGAGCTTCATTTTGATACAATGTTTCAATTGGGTTATGCTACACAAAAAATGAAATTGTTTGAATATTATGTTGGAACAGCTCGAAGTATCTTGAATGTTTCATGTCTAGAAAACAACTTTCTTTGCTCCTCATAACTATAGGAGTAACAATGGTATTGTGCATATTATGCAAACACAAATTGCGCAAAACTTTGTTGCTTAAATTTGGTTGAAAAATTAAATGGCTGTTAAAAAGTTTTATATAAATATTAAACTACATCCCCATAGCAACCTGTAAAGGTAGCTCTACTTTCACTCACTGAGATCTGCTTTAGAAACTAAACTCTTATTTAACAAAGAATAAAGGATCTTTTCACATTCTTCAGCAAATCCTCAGGTGACTTTCCCAGATCATAGGACAGAAAATGAATAGTTGTTTTATCATCACAAATTTTATGTCGTCTCCATTGGTCAGTTTTGTGTGGTTTTTTTAACAATAAACTAATCCTTAGTAAAATTCGTCACAGGATAAGATGGCTAAAGTGGCTACCAGTTGAGGTCAATTGCCTGCTTAAAGAAAAAGGAATCTTCAAGCTTTCTGGGATGCCAAGGGCTTGAAAATCTGGCTCTGCTAGTTTGCCCAGGAGATTCCAATGGGGGACCATCACACAGGTGGTGATTGATAGATTAAAAACAGATCTTCCCTCCCCTAATCCTACTCCCCTCCCCCATCTTTTAGTTATAATTGATAATTTATACTTTTATAGTGCTTAATTTGTTTTATTATATTCATGTTTTCATATTTTTTTAACATTGTAAGGTCCCCAGAATCATGCCATGGGAGATGTATGGCATTTAATAAATTAATTAAATAATAGCATATATCTCAGTTGTGGGTATTCATTTCTTGATTCATCTTTCTTAAATCAGCAGTAGTATATTTTCCTTCATTTTATTATTTGCGTCTCCTATTTGCCAATTTTCAAAATTATTTTTTTATAACTGCATTCTCAAGGGATGAAGGAGTTCTCACTCACCATTCACCTGTAATTTTTGGAATAACTGATCTATTCCAGAAACCTTTCTCAGCAGATCAAATTTGTATAGCAATTAGATGCCCATTGTTAGAAACTGCAACAATTGAATATGAAAAAATATCTCTAAAATTTGATGAAGAAACTGCATGACAGTAAGGCAAGTTCCTTGAATGCATTATGCAAAAAGATTTCTTCCTAAGATGTCACGAGGTTTAAAGATCCACACCTCGTTGTGTGTGGATGTGTGCTTAAGTGTTCAAGGGCAGCACCATCAGTATCTCATTGGACAAAAGCAACTCATTCAATATTTAGAATCTCCAATTTATTTAGAATATGCAACAGAAGAATATGTAATATATTTTCATTTGGGGAGAGGTCATTAGGAATTAGAAATATTTAGCAAATTGCAATTTAAAAAAACCTTCATTAAACTAGATGTAGCTGGAGTAATGAAAAATAATGCTAAGATATCCATTTTCATTCTAAAAATACAGTATGGAATAATAGCACAGGAAATCAAGATTAGTGCTAAGAATGGAATATATTCTTAATTAACATCTAGTATTGCTGGTTTTCTGATTTAACAATTTCCATATACAAAGCATGGCAGAAAAAGAATTACACTTAGTTCAAAATTTCCTGCAAAAAGACTCCATTAAATTAAAATGCAACATGCTTTAACTTCACTTTTTAGTTTTCTAACAAAACCTTAACATGAATACTGGACATTTTACATAGTACAAAAGAATACTTTTAACAATGTCTAGTTGAAATAATGAATAGCTGAGTGCCTTATAAATGTTTTAATTAACTAATATAAAAATTAGTATTTTACAAATTTGTTGAAAATATCCAAAGTATAAAAAGATACAGTACATATAACAATATGGAAATGATACTTGACATCAGAATATTCTCTAGGCATGCATTAGAAACATTCATGTGTCAATGGAGCAAATAAGGAAATGAAATCTTGTATTGGTGTTTGATTTAATTACAAATTAATCGCTTCTGTAAATTTTCTTTCTTCAGGGATACCATTTACCTGAAAACGACAATTGATAAGGGTATTAGATTCAAAAGTTAATGTAGTTTTAAATTATAGGATAATCATGATGAATCTGTATCAGATTTAAGAAGCAACTGATATATTGAACTTGTTCTGCATAAAGCTAAAAAAGTGAATATCTGGAATGCATAAAAATAAAGACAATAAAGATAAAATAAACAAGGATGGAATTTGTAACTTCAAGTGTTCCTGAACTATGATTCCCAGCAGCCCATATTACTGGTTATGCTGTCTGTAATTGCTGGAAACCAGATTAGCAACGCAGGAGCTTAGATTCTTTTATCACTGTTTTTCACTGGGTAGAAAAAAAAGTGATACTAATGTAATACTTGCCTCCAATCTTTGAAATGTTGTCATGCGAAATTCTCCTTTAGTCCCCGAAAGCAGTAATAAAAATAAATAAATTGAATACACATCTCTCACAAATGAATTCCTGTCATAATTTTCCAGAGGGATGGCCTTCAAAGTTTTTGCAGCAAAAACTAGAGAGTTGTGGTACCTTGAAGACTGATGAACACTTTACAGTAGCATAGATTTTTTAGTTTAACATCAATTTATCAGTTATGTGAAGTTTCTAACACTTGACGGTTACCAAGCACATTGGCTGCATGAAATGGATTATACTGTATCAAAATTTAGCATAAATTACTTTTTAAAATGCTGCTCAATTATCTTCCTAGGTGAATCTTCTATCTAGTTTTTGCCATTTATGAAGCATGTGCAAAATGTTTCACATAAACCTTTACTTGAGGAGCATAGCTGGATTTAGGTAGCTTTCCCAGATCAAAATTGGGCTGTTTTCCTTTATGTATAAGATGAAATGAAGTTCTTTTGTTCCAGAGGAAGAGCCAATAGAAATTCCATAACAGTAGTTCACAAGATATGGGAAGGGAGAAAAGGGAAGGCATTCAGAAGATCAAGGGAATGAGCAAACTGATGGAATATATGCCATATTGGGACATTCTGTGCAGCTGAAAGGAGAGGGAGGGGGTTAGCGGGATGGGGATTGATGAGACATTGGCAGCAGCTCAGGCAAGAAATGACATATGGAATATGACAGCTGGGCCACGCAGAGACAAAAGACGAAGTGATTTGCACAAATATTAGGAAATCCATCTGGATTTTGTTTTGTCCAAATCCTTGAAAAATCAAGTATTTCAGGTTTTGGATTTGCCAAGCCATACCTGACCTGAAATGGTTCAGATGAACCTCCAGGTTCAAAAAAAAAATTCCTTGTGGCCTGCATAGCCCAAAGCTTAATTTATTGCCTGTCTCCAATATCTATGTTAACATAACTGCATTTAAATGAATTTTGATAATTAACAGTAATGCAAATCTCCCCATCTCTTCTCATTCTGCTGATTGATGGTCCAAGAACTAATCTAATACTAAATTAAAGAAAAAGAAAAGATTGCAATAAGTCTGTTCAGTAATAGGGATCTGCAAAATCTCCTTCATATGTATTCATGCAATGTGTAGCCTGTTTTGGATTCTCTGTTGATGAACTGAAACATATACTTCTGTTGCAAACAGATTACAGGGCAGGACTGGTTGAATCTAGATGCGGGTCCAAAATGTTATAGTCTACCACAAGTGTTCTGTTCCAGCTATATAGTTAGATATTATGTTCTCTTTCTTTTGGGTGTTAAACTGTTATATTTTGAAAGCTTGAGTTTGGACCATCAGAGAGGAGGAATAGTTTTGTCTCTATTTGTCCTGATTTAAGTTGGATGGTCATGTGATCTGGCTGGAGCTTTGGAGAAAAGCAGGCATTATAGAGTGCATGGTATGGCAAGGGGTCATTCTGGATTTAATCATTCTTAACAGATAGTGACTAAAGAATGAACTACAAAAGAAGAAATTGTTACAAGGGATCTTGACTAGACTAGACTAGGGTTTTTCTTCAAAGAGGTGATATTCTGGCTACTAGCAGACCAGACAGCCCAGGCTGAATAAAAAGCGGATTGTTTTTTGCTATCATACTTTGCTTTGGCTGTCCAGAATATATGCTGCTGCTGTTTCTTGCACAGGTTCTTGAATGTAAATTGGAGTTGGTGAATTAATGTCCTATGGTTTTCAAATGATAAGCTGATATAATGTTGAAATCACTTTAAAGGTGTGTGTTCATGCATATGTACTATATTCACAGACAAGACATGAAAAAACAAAAAGTGCAGCACTGATTGCTTTGGTTAACCTGCTATTTAGGTATGTGCATTCTTAGTTTCTCTTGGGGTTGAGATTCTAGAGGCTTTATATATGTAAGTGCTTTCATCTTCAAATATATTTTGGAGCTTCCACAATAACAGAATGATATTCACAGCTAAACTCAACAAGACATCAGCAATGTATTGAGTTATTGCTATTACTGTTATTGCTGCTGTGAACTCAATAACCGACATGGCTCTTAGAACTGGGTATTCTACAGATCAGTAGAGAACAGTTGTTCTGAATCCCATTATTTTCTAGAAATAGAGGATCCATGACCATTTTTGTGTTTCATTTAACCAAACTAGGAAGAAACAATTTTTTGTTTCAGATTTTGTTTAATCTGAACATTAGTTACTCTGAAATGAAGTCAGAACTTCTGGAACACAGTATTTTGTATGACTCCATACTATTTCCATTTTGTGTAAATTTCA